TTACAGTAAGATCCAAGGTACACATTATAAATATGTAGGCTAACATCTTATTAACATGAGTTTTCTTACCAATGTGAATATAATACAATATTAATATTTTATAAGATAACTACACTATAGACACAAAGAACGAAGATAAGAGACCAAATGTAAATATTAATGCTATATTTTGTAAGTTAACTACATTATAGACAAAAAGAAAGAAAAAAGACCCTTACTATAATTTGGCTTTAGGTCACGAGTTTGGTTGAGATGTCCTTGGATATTGAGCGGGAAAGGCTCCGTTTAACTCACTTATAACTGACTTATAATTTGGTGAGAGACCGAGAGAGTAACTAACTGGAGAGGTTCTATTGAAGTGAAAAACAAAAACCCACTAAGTTGTATAATTTTTTTCTTTTCCTTTTTTGTCTTTCTCCAAAAACAATCTCACTCCCTAACTCTTCAAAACTACCCATCTCCCTAAATTTGAAAGAAAGAAAGAAAGAAAGAAAAAATGGAGTCTTTCTATTTTGGTTTCAAGCAGGATGGGGAAAATGAGATTGTAAAGGAAATGTATTTAAACGAGTTGGGGTTACATCCTCCTAAATGCTTAGTGGGTCTCGGAGTGAGTATTATTTCTCTACATCACTCCTTGATTACTAGGATAAGCAGAATATTTGGGTTGTCATCAATCTTCATCTTTCTAAGTAAGGGTGACAAACGGTCATGTCGGATCGAATATGGTCGGGTCAAAAATGGGTATGCAAAAACAGATAAATTATTCGATCAGATCCATATTTAATACGGATAAAAAATGAATTAATCGATGGATAATATGGGTAACCATATCATCCATAACTTTTTGAATATGATCACTTATGGGGGAATTCCTAGTTTTCCAAGTCTGAGGAACTCTTAGTTTGAGTCTTTACAAATGTAAAAGTTAAACCTATTAGCCGATCGGTTAAAAATAACACTTCTAGCCGATTGATTAAAAATATTTTTAACAACTAGTCGGTCGATATTGTTGAGCGTAGCCATAAAAAAATTTAGCCACATAATGCTTTTCTTCTCTCTATCCTTCCTTCCTCCCTCCCTCCCTCCCAAAAACCTACTTGTCATTGATATCATCATTCCGACAGATTATTCAGAAAACCCTCCCTTCTATTGCTCGTTTACATTTATATGCTATGTATTTAGTGTATAATTGGTATAAAATTACTATATAATTAGTGTATAATGTTGATGTAATGATTCTACATTGATTATATATTTTTTATATACCTATTATACATTGTAATCTTTTTTCCATTGTCGAACCATAAAAAGAAGGCTAGAGAAGAATGCAAAAAAATTTGAGAAGGAAGATGAGAAAAGGTTTCAAAAAAGGGAATTCACATTAGAACAACTGGGCTCCCTACTTTTCAATTTTATAGACCATATTTCAATTTACAACAAACTAACCCAAAAATAATAGGCTATGATTCAACATCCAACTCCAATAGGTTCTCAAAATTACTATTTAATTTTTAAAAAAAATTGCTCAATCTTTTAAGTTAATTTTCGAATCAATAACCGTGACTCAAATACTAGTTCAACAAACCAAATCCATTTGGGTGGTGAAAATTAGATTTTTAACAAACTTAAGTATGTGGGTTTAAATTCCGAATTTGATTTTGTGAGAAATTTGGAGTGAGTGTTATTTAGACATGTTAGAAATAGTATAAGGAGGTTGTATATAAAATTTGAAGTCATTTAATGGAGATTTGGACTGGTTTTGAACAAAAATTGCAACTGAAAATCGTGGAAGAAATTCGTCTACAGACGCTTGTATAAAGGTATATAAAAGTGTATAATAGTGTATAAGATGTGTTTATACACTCATATGCACTATTATACAAGATTATACATAATTATACAAAAAACTGACTTCGTTTGCTTCCTTGCGTCTTTTCTGAAATTTAACTCAAATTTGCTCAAATCTGCTCCAAATCACTTCAAATTAAAATTTTAAACTCCTTTTGATATTTTCACTCAATTGGAACAACACCCAATCCAAACAACTAACAAACTCAAAAAATTCTATTTTCGAAAGCAAAGCTTTGAATGGCCTTCAATGGGGGACTTCTACTATTTAATTTTTTAACATTGCAACCAGGTGACATAGGGGGAGAAGCAGCAATGGCGGACGGCCCTTTGAAGCATATGTAAAATATGTGAGAAGAAGAGAGGGTGAAAGCAATGGTTGTGAGCAGGGGCGGATTTAGGGGGCGGAAGGGGGTTCGTCGAAAAATTACTCTGTATATATAAGGCAAAATCTATTTTTTACCTCTATATATTAAGTTTTGACCCCCTTAAAACAACTCAAAACTGTAGCTTAGTGGTCAAGGGGGTCCAAAACCTTCATAAGGTCATAAGTTAAATTCCCACTAGCTAAAAAAAAAAATTTGAACCCCCTTCGTGGAGATCCTGCCTCCGCCACTGGTTGTGAGAACACAGATTTAACTCCATAGCTTTTAGAAGCAATGGTTGTAAGAACACATTTTAAATTGTCAAGAGCTAGTGTTTTCAAAATACGTACAATATGAACTAGGTCGGGGAAAATATAAAAACATGGGTCATTTTTTATTATGGTGTGAAGTCATGCGTATTTTTTTGTAATTCTGTCAAAAAAAAGAACTCTTGAAATTGAGATTATTTATTGCTATCCAAAGTTCCAAACAATTGTATCTCATATGCATACATTCAGCCATGCTTCTGTATTGATTTCTCAATCTTTAAGGAGCAATCTTTTTGGTCTCAGATGCACAAAATTTCAGTGAGTAATCTATGGGCAAGACAAGAAAACGTGATATGCAACCAAAGGAAAATAATATTCCAACAAATTGACGGAGCCGTTGATAAGTAAAGCGGCTGCAATGAATAATTATTCTGTGAGACGGGGTTAGAGAGTTAGATAAGAAAGCTTTAGGGTTAATGAAAGGGATATATAATAGGCGGCCGGCTAAAGTTAGTAAACAAGAAAAAGTCGGTTTATTTTACGTTTAAATGCGTAATGAGCTGCTAATCGAGTCAAATCTTCATCTTTATAAATGTACATGGTGTAAAACCTGTCAAATCACTTGTTTGATTATAAAAAAAATCAAAACCTTGAAATTTTTTAGCATGTAGAATAAATAGTTAGATGAGGCCTACGTTGCCATATGCATATCTTCCGGGTGATGAACGGAGACATAAGCAAAGGATAATTTAGTCTAAGGCACACAAATATTTGCATAGTAGCTACGTAAGATTCTTGTTTGACCAACTATATTACTTTATTTTCAATGAACTAACTAGGATGCCCTGAAAATGTAAAGCAGGCATGTTGACTTTGTATGTGCTTATTCTCCCAATTTATGAGGCAGAGTTTGATTTTAAGAGTCCAACGAGTTTTTCTTTGACCGCGACTTATAGTACTTTTTACGTAATTTCCAAATATATTAAAAAAATTCAAAAATCTTAAAGATTCTATTTCCGAATTCACGTTCAAAATTTAAAAAAATTATCTCGAAAATCTGAGCTTCGCCCCAAAAATTGGAACTGAAGGAGTAGTAGAATTATTATACTTCTAGTTCCATGACGGTCCTACTGTAGAAAAACTTTTGCTTAATACGTTCGACTAAATTAGGGTTCTTTTTCTTCCTAAATTATGGTTGATTGTACAGCTCTTCAGAATATTATTTTCACTAATTAAAAAAAGATTATGAACCTATTGGGGTACATTCCTGTTAAAACTCTCAGGAAAGTATTGAATTTATAATAGAAAAAGTATATTGCCCTATATATTTGTAAGGGTCAAAATTAGACCCGGTTTAACGAATGCAGATGGACGGGATGAGGTCGAGGTCGAAACCGAGTATGGTTCAGCGACGAGGAGTCGCCTAAAAGGAGAGACCGGCGCCGAGGTCGAGTAGAGAGCAAACAGATGTAGCGGTTATAATGTTCCTAAGGTTGCGAGCGGGAATATTCTATTGAATATTCTCCCATTTTGTACTTCTGTAAAAGGAAGAGAGAGGAAACAAAAGGGGGATTCGAAACTTCTGTAAAAGAACACCATGTAAAAGAGTTGACTATCAAGAATATACAAAAAGTTTATCTTGTCCCTTCTATTTGATTCCATCATACAACATTCTTCCTTAGTTCACAAGATCCGAGGGCATATTGTTTACTACTACTGTACATTGTCACACGTTGTCTCTGAAGAAGGAATCATCCACCTCATCCAATATTTGGGTGATTTATTGCTTCTTATTACATTAAATGCCATTTATCATATTCGTCGCATACATTCACTTTCATATTTATATCTAATCATTGAGCATTAACTCAGCATTTATTACTTTTAATTTGGATTCGCCCCTTATCGATAAATTAAATTGGTTTAACCAAAAAGAGTTTCACACATTTTAGGTCAAACAATTTGGCACCGTCTGTAGGGAGTTCCTAGTTAAAGAAATTAGTTTCTTTAGATCTAAAAAAGCAACAACAAAACCTTTCCCTTCCTTGTTTGTACAAGCTAACCATGACAGGAAAAGGATAGGAAAGACTGAAAGCGGTGATGGGTGTCACTACAAACCTCCTAGGCACCATCAATGAGGTGAGTAGGGAGGACGTAGAAGATGTGAAGCCGCGCGCCTCACCAAGACAAAGTAACTCACCCCCTCCCCACGGTAGCATAACCGCTTCGCATGAGAGGGGAGCCTCCACGTCCATGACAGCAGAAGCCCCGTCCACAGTGAAAAAGTTACTAGAGGCGTGGTTGACAAGTACCCTGAGCAGCATACTCGACAAACCCGCTCAAAGGCAAGTAGGAACACCGCAAGAGTGAACACCCCAATAGCTGTCAATGAGCAACATGCCGCTCCCCCAACAGGTAACACTCACATCGCTGTTGATGTAGGTAACGACGTTCTTGTAGCCGTTCTGAAGAAATTGGAAGAAATGGAAAACGAGAATAAAGCACTCCGCACGACCAAATGAGCGAGCACAAAGAAAGGATCGATAAGATACCAGGCGCCCCAAAACTCCTGCCAAAAAGAGACGTCGGCCGGTTTGTGGAACAGCCATACAGCGAGGAGGCAGCCCCACATGCCATACCCAAAACTTTCAAAATGCCACCATATTTGAAAATATATGACGGCACAACGGACCATGAAGACCATATCATTCATTATGTCACGGCGGCGAAAGGCAATGACCTCTCGAAAGAACAGGTACCGTTGGTGCTGCTGAAGAAGTACGGCGAAACCCTAACAGGGGGAGCCTTGACATGGTATTCACAATTGCCAGCACGTTCCATAATGACGTTCAAAGAAATGGCCAACAAGTTCGTCATCGCTCATGTCGGAGCCAAGAAAGTAGAAGCCATAGTGAATGGCATATTTGCTGTTAAACAATCGTCTGGTGAAAGACTCAAGGACTTCCTCACCCGGTTCAATAGGGTAAGGATGATCCTACCAAACGTATCAGAAGGGATGGCGGTAGAGGCCTTTCAAAATGGGCTGAACAGGAACGGGTCAAGAGCGCCCAGAAAATTATTAAGCAGACTCATGAAATACACTCCCGCCACTTGGGAAGAAATTCACAACGCTTATTGCGCCGAGGTGAGGGCAGATGAAGAGGACCTCAATGGTCCAACCCAACGGCTAACGACAATCCAAATGGAATTAAGAAAAGATCGACGGAATGACAGCCGAAGAGATCATGCAGGCCCACTCCTCAATCGGGAAAGGCACCAACCATACAATAGAGCGAACATACCACTACCTCCCCACCAAGCCGAAGGGGCGTCCCGGCCACAAGCGGGAACTCACCGAAATGAAAGAGGTATGCGTCCACTTTTATCCGCTCACAATTTCTGTGTATCTCCTTCAAAAATAGTCTACGCCCTGGAGAAGCTCGGTCCCAAGGTGAAGTGGCCACAAAAGATGAAGTGAGACCCAAACACCTGAAAGTCGAATGCCCTCTGTGAGTTCCATCAGGAACGAGGCCACAAGATCGAAGATTGCATAGCCCTTCGACAAGAAGCAGTGAACATGCTACACCAAGGACATTTAAAAGAGCTGATGAGCGCCCGAGGGAGACCCAACTTTGCCCGTGGACGAGAACCACATCAAGGCCCCACAAAGCCACCCTTCCCCGCCCGCACCATCCAAATGATCAGCGGCGGAGGAGATGAAGCAGCAATCAACCAGGTGAAATTCACCACCACGCACAAATTTAAGCGGTCGATCACCCATGAACGGTATGATGACCTCAAATACAGTGTCATTTTTGATAAGTCAGATACCCACGGTTTGATCTTTCCTCATTTTGACGCTCTTTTCATTACTTTATGAATTTCAAATACTGATGTAAAAAGATTCATGGTAGACGACGGGAGCGGCACATGTAATATCCATCCCAGAGTTCTCACGCAAATGAGACTCGAGGATAAGATAGTACCACGCTGCATAACACTAAGAGGTTTTAACAATGCAGTCGAACGAACCTCTGGAGAGATAACATTGCCCTTACTGGCCCCCCGACGTCACCCTTGAAACAACGTTCCATATCATGAATCAAGATACCGCCTACAACGCTATTATAGGGCGACCTTGGATACACGCCATGAGGGACATCCCATCCAGTTTATACCAGGTCATCAAGTTCCCTACCCCATGGGGAATATTCAGCATCCGCGGTGAACAACTCACAGCTCAAGAATGCTACCGCATCGCCTAAGATTGCACATACACCCAACAGTTAAGAGAGGAAGGCTCGGGAGCATAGCAATTACCGAAGTCGATGCCCGAGCCTGACAAATAAACAGACGTCGTTAGAGACCCCGACGTCGTAGAAGCCATAGAGTTAATAGTGGAGGACCTCGATCCCGTCCAGCTGGACAAAGCGACCACAGCAAAAAAGCCTACATCGGCCACAAACTCACAGAGCCAGGTAAATTCCATAAATTTTTAACTGATAACGCCGATCTGTTTGCTTTCTCCCATGCAGACATGCCAGGTATCTCGAAAGACATCGCAACACACAAGCTGAATGTCGATCCACTCTACCCACCAGTACGACAAATCAGAAGAAAGTTTAATGTTATAATCAATGAGGTCGTCCACGAAAAGGTAGAGAAATTGCTCACCAACGGTTCCATTCGGGAGTCAAAGCACCCCCAATGGGTCGCCAATATGGTCATGGTGAAAAAGAAAAACGGTAAATGGCGCATGTGCCTGGACTTTACGGACCTAAACAAAGCTTGTCAAAAAGACTCCTTCTCGTTGCCTCACATCGATTAATTAGCTCATCGACGCAACAGCGGGGCACGAGTTATTAATCTTCTTGGGTGCCTACTCAGGCTACAACCAGATCCTCATGGAGGAAGAGGACCAAGAGAAGACCACCTTCATCACCCACCAAGGGATGTACTGCTACAGAGTTGTGCCGTTTGGGTTAAAAAATGCAGGGGCGACCTATCAGAGGCTGGTCACCAGGATGTTCAAAGAACAACTCGGCAAAACGATGGAAGTCTATAAAGACGACATGTTGGTCAAGTCAGAAAGAAAAGAGGACCATATCGACCATCTGAGAGAAGCCTTCGACGTACTTAGACGATACAACATGAAGCAAAACCCCGAAAAGTGTGCTTTCAGCATGACCTCGTGAAAGTTCCTCGGCTTTTTGGTATCACAGAGAGGCATCAAGGTCAATCCCGACCAAATCAAGGCAATAGAGGGAATACCTAAGATTCTAACCAGCAAGAAACAGGTACAGAAACTGACTGGTCATATAGCCGCCCTGTCAAGATTCATCTCACGATCCTCGGACAGATGCCATGATTTCTTCAATGTACTCAAAAAGGACAACGGACTCCAGTGGAATTTCGAATGCATCAGTGCCCTAAGAGAATTAAAGGCGTACTTGTACTCGCCCCCAATACTCGTTAAAGCAGAACCCGGCGAACGTCTCTTAATCTACTTGGTCGTATCCGATGTCGCGGTAAGCGGAGTCTTGGTCCGCAAAAACAAAGGTACCCAATATCCAATTTATTACATTAGCAAAACCCTGGTCGATGCCGAGACGAGGTATCCCCACCTCGAAAAACTAGCTCTGGCATTAGTCGTAGCACCACGAAAGCTGAGACCTTATTTTCAATGCCACCCTATCTCGGTAGTCACGACCTTCCCCCTAAGAAGCATCCTACATAAACCCGAGCTGTCAGGTAGATTGGCCAAGTAGGCCATCGAATTAACTGAGCACGATATAACATATCAGTCGTGAACGTTATTAAAGTCGCAAGTACTTGTCGACTTCAGCGCCAACATACTGCCTGAGGTCGAGCAGGAAGCCACCCATACTTCCACCAAGTTACTAGACCTATGGGTCCTGTACACCGATGGCACCTCCAACGCGTCAGGATCTGGATTGGGACTCATGCTCGAGGTCCCAACAGGCGAAGTCATTCACCAGTCCATACGGTGTCCCGACATAACTAACAATGAGGCTGAGTATGAGGCCGTAATTGCAGGACTGAAACTAGCTCTCAAGTATGGAGCACTGCGAGTCATCCTCCGATGTGACTCGCAACTCATCGTCAATCAAGTCACAGGGACTTTCCAAATCAAAGAACAAAGGCTACAAAAATACCAGGCAGAAATTCATAAGCTACTGCCCGAGTTCGACGAATGCCAATTCGACCAAATACCCCGAGCATAGAACACAGAGCAGATGGCCTCACTAAATTAGCAGCAGCCACCAAGAACATAGACGGAAAAGAAAACGTAGTCACCCTCCTCTGTTCGTCAATAGACCAAATCGAGGTACGCACTATAAACTTGACCCGGGACTAGCGCAGCCGTATTATGTCATATCTGCAGAACGGATTGCTCCCACCCGATAAAAAGAAAGCCAAGAACCTTCGAATGCAGGCGGCCTCATCAACCATGACTTATACAAAAGAACGTTTGGTGGTCCCTTGGTGAAATGCCTAGGACCGAATCAAACTAGGCGCGTCCTCGAAGAAGTGCGCAGAGGCCATCGCGGAGCTCATATTGGTAGTCGAGCCCTCGTCAGATGCCTCATACGGGCAAGCTACTACTGGCCCACCATGAAAAAGGAAGCCGCCGACTTTGTTAGAAAGTGCGAATAATGCCAAAAATACGCTCCAATGATCCACTAGGCGGGTGAACACCTCCACTCAGTCACATCGCCTTGGCCGTTCATCAAATAGGGGATGGACATAGTCGGACCCCTTCCAGCAAGACGAGGTAATATACGATTTCTTTTGGTTTTAACTGACTATTTTTCCAAGTGGGTAGAAGCATGTGCATTCGCCCAAATACGCGAACAAGAAGTTATCACATTCATATAGAGGAACATCATATGCCGCTTCGGCATCCCCAAAGAAATCAGTTGTGACAACGGACCTCAATTCACCGGGAGAAAAACTGCAGAATTCTTCGAGAAATGGCACATCAAGCTACTCTCCACGCCACATCACCCTGCAGGTAACGGTCAGGTGGAGTCCTCCAACAAAGCAATACTAAACATCTTGAAGAAAAAGCTTGAGGACGCCAAGGGACTGTGGCCGGAATTGCTACCGGAAGTGCTATGGGCATACCGCACCACGCCAAAAACCAGCGCGGGAGAAACGCCATACTCACTAGTCTATGAGAATGATGCAGTGATACCTGTCAAAATCGGAGAACCAAGTCTAAGATACTCCAACGAGAGCGTACCATGTAACGATGAAAGCAGAAAGCAAGACCTCGACAAAACATATAAGCAAATAGACATGGCTCACGTAAGAATGATAGCTCAAAAGCAGCAAGTAGACTGGTACTACAACAAAAAAGCCAAAGTCAGACCACTCAAGGTAGGGGACTATGTGCTCAAAGCCAAAACGCAAGCAAGCAAAGACCCACGGGAAGGCAAACTGGGAACCAACTGGGATGGACCATAAAAATCACGGCAACAGCAAACAAAGGATTATTCCAGCTAGAAACAATGGAGGAAAAGTACTACCAAAAAATTGGAACGTCGCCCATCTCAAATACTTCAACTTCTAAAAAGGGACGTCCTCCAAGTCGTACTCTTTTTCCCTCACCCGAGTTTTGTCCCAATTGGGTTTTCTCGGGGAGGTTTTTAATGAGGCGACACAGGGGGTGTCTCGGAGTTTAAGTATTAAGTTCATCGCCCCGCCTATTGTCTACTTCTCTAGACCGAGCGACGAAGGGACTAGATAGACCGGGACTCCTCGAATATATGTACGGACCGAAAAGAAATGTAATATTCTCCAATGAATAAACAAAGCAATGACATTCTTACAAATTTGCACATCGCAACACAAAGGAAACCTACATTCGACCTCGCTCGAATTAATCTACATCCGACCACGCCTGAATTAATCTACATTCGACCAGGCTCGAATTAATCTACATTCGACCTCGCTCGAATTAATCTACATTCGACCTCGTTCGAATTAGTCTACATTCGACCTCGCTCAGGTTAACTACACTCGACTCCATCCGAATCAATGATCTCATTCGAACCAAACCAAAAGTAAAGGACTTCCTCACAAAAGAAAAAAGAAGAAAGGAGAGCTAAAAATACACAACAAAAGACAACTGTTCCATTTCAATCATTACATTACAACACATTTTTACAAAGGGTTGGAATGGCGCCCCCACAAAAAGAGAACAACAAAAACACATCCAAGTACAAAGATTTCATGCCACATCGTTCCCCCCATCACCAACGTCACCAACATACTCATCATCGTACCAAGGGTCGCAAGCAAGCCCATCTAAGGCATCTTCGTCATCGTCCCCGCCAGGCGTACCAGGATCACAACCACAGGCGTCACGAGTTGCACGTGCCTTGACATGAACATCCTCAAATTCCGCCTTGGAAATCTTCCCAGCCGCCTTCAGAGACCTGTATTTGTCAA